AACATCACGATATGAGATAAAAATGAGTGTCATTTTTTACAGGTAGCCAATATGATGAACTGAAATAACCTCAAAATCGGTTGACATCAGAGTTTTTGATAATTTATCGCGATTCGAGAGTCGTTAACTTCCTGGATGATACAAACATCGATAAAAAAAAATGGCATCAATATTTTATGAAAATAACCTGTTTCCAGTGGTAGAGGTTCATAGCTATTTTCAAGTTGGCAATGAATTGCTGAACTCGTCCATTGCAAACGGGATATTTTCGAAAATTTCGGGTTATCTATCGAAGAAGCCCACCCCTTTATTCACATTATTTTTGCATCGAGAAGGAAAAATAATATGTGGAAGTTGAATAACGCAACGTTATCTTTTTAAAGCCTCCATCAGGAGTTTTACAGGGTGATTCTTCAAAACCTGACAAACTACAAATCAATCTGTTCAAATGGAACATAATATCTGGATACTGTAATTTTTTTGTGATTACAAATATATATATATTCACACAGTATGTTATCTTTTATTTCCACTTCTTCATCACCACTTTTATGATTCAAGAAAAACCATTTTTGCCTCATTAATTGGTGATCACTCTATCAGTTTGGGACTGTATTCGATAATGATCCAATATACAATTGTTGAATGAATCCTCATTCATGACTAACACGTTATCTGTATAGAAGCCAACACACAAAAATTATTTTTCCGGGGTCGAAGAAGTGGTGATGAAAAGTGAAGACAGAAGATGACATATATTGTTTATATTTTCCCTGTCATCACACAAAATCACAGATGAAGAAAGAAATATCAAAAACACGGACAATATAATTTGTGGTTTATCACGCTTCTATAGGGATTACCTTATGAAACTTTCGATTATTGCTGTAAGAAGGCCTCATTGTGGCATCAATATTCCGCATATTGTTTTTTCTCTCGATAAAAAATAACCTAGGTATGGAAGTGGGTCATTTTTATGGATAACCCTGTAGTTGTTTTGTGAATTCAAAGGCTTCTGGTTCTTGTATTGTTATCATCGAGATCAGACTATTGTTGAGTTAATTGAATATTTCCTGGTGGAATTGACACACTTCATGATGTAAATAGATAGTACTGTTAATATCGTTTTTTTTTCAATATTTTCAGACTATTTGCGCGATAGCCCAAATCTAAAATCAAGTATACCATTCTGTTCTGTGATACTAAAGCTCTGTTGAAATCATTAGCGCTTCTCCAAATTATATTGTACTAGCTGACCCGGTGAACGTTGTTTTGCTCTATATAACTTTATTTCTAGAAAATATTTGTTACTTAAATATTCAACAACATACTTTTATTAGTTTGGCAATCTATCTCTTTAATTTTGTGAACAATTATTCATTTTCCACTTCCTTATAGTTTGGCTATCTATAAAAGCGTGTTTCTTTAGTGTTTCTACTATTTATTACAATGCTCATGAATCGCGATATTGGATTCAAAATTCTGGCAGAAATATCTCCGACTTCGAAAACCTCCAGATTATTACAACACTTGTCCGCCATATGGTATCCGCGCCATCTTGAATACCCTGATTTTGACGGAGAAATCATAATCTTTGACCCCGAGAATCCCCAGATACCAATTTTGAATAGAATAGGACCAATAATACAAAACTCGTCCGCCATATTGGATCCGCCCATCATAAATTTCCACATTTTGACAAGAGAATCATTATCTCCGATTACGAAAACCACCAGATACCAATTTTGAATAAAATCAGACTATAATTCAAAAACTCGTCTGCTATATTGGATCCGCCATTTGTTGGAATTTCCTAATTTTGACAAAAAAATCATAATCTTCGACTCCGAAAACCCCCAAATACCAATTTTGAATAAAATCGGACCATAATTATTATACCAAACTCGCTTGCTATATTGGATCCGCCACCTCGAATTTCCAAATTTTGACGACAGAATCGTAATCTCCGACCACGAAAACCGCCAGATACTAATTTTTAATAATATCCGATAGATCGAAAAGACATTATTCCAGATGCGGAGTTTTGAAAGGTCGACCAAAGAATCAGGCCATATTGACTAAAAAATGTCACTGGGAATTTCTCAGAATATAATGTAGTTCCGGTGTTCTTGTCAACAGTGAAAAAAAATAGTAGGTAGTGAATACCAAACGTTTAGTAAAATAGGCGACAGTCACTAGATTCATCTAATAATACCACTACCTGATTGAATAATACTATACAATATCAAATATCACCACTACAAATTAGAATGATAATTATAGTACCTATAGTATGATCAATTATCATGTTATAGTATTATTTGACGAATGTAGTAACTGGCGCCTATTTTACCAAACGTTTATTGGTATCCACTCATTACCAACTATTTTTCTTAGTGAGGTAACATATAATTGTATCTTATTTTTCAATCCTGTTATATCTTGTTTGTCAGTAATTTCTCTTCCTATAGTTTCATCAACAAAAGTGATAAATAATATCATTAAGGGAATTGATGAATCTCTCGGCTGCTGTCCCTCAAAGTATAACTTTGATTGATTGATGTATATTGTGTTATATTTCTTCCTCATTCGTCCCAATTCATTCACAACGGTTGTGTTATGCCCAGTATTGCATTCTGGAACCAGGATTCTATTCGGCTGTGTTTGTTTTTTGACCTGTTCAGATTTTCTTAGCTGGTTCACTTTCAGATAAATGATGTTTTGTCAATCAATCCAAGAAGTGGAATACAATGGAGTATATAGGAAATGTAGAATATATCGCAGATTCCATTCACACTGCACGAAACTTGAAGGTTATATTCCAGATAAATAGCTTACTATTCTGCGAAAATTCAATTTTCGTCTTTTCAATAGTTTCTCCAATTGATTATGAAATATTTTCCTTATCAAATTGATCAATGAAGAACACGATGATATTATGCTATGCAAATGCATAGTAGATAGTAATGTAGGTGTTACTAAGGCAAGTAAAAGAAACTGTGGAAAGAGGATAATATATTCTGTGTTCAGAAAAGTTAGAACAACTGTTAGAATATTGTACTTTCATATTATTGTTCGTGATGATAATGTTCAGTTATTTAGGCAATTATTAAGGAAAAATCCATTATTTACTCATTATGAAACAATGTGAAACGCTGAATAACTGAATGGGACCTCTCTTGTTTACTATTTGGTATCAAAGAACTACAACGTTTGGCACTGAATGATCCGAAATAATTGAAACTGAAGTGACCATTGGAATTTCGACTAAACAATGTTGATGATTGGAACTAGGGCGAAACACATCCAGAACAATTTGTGTAATTCGTGATTTTATTCAGAATGATTGAGGCTTTTAGAATCTGTGATCACATAATCAGGAAAAAAATGTGTCGATATTGGTTACACGAATACGAAACTTCGCATGTAAAGCAAACAATATCAACAAGTCGAATCTCATCAAAAATTGCTGACAAGGAGTATTCTTGGTTATTTCGTAATTTTACAATTGGTTGAGCTGAAAAGCTATAAACAAATTATTTTGAAACTTTCCAAGGGCTTTCAACCGAATTTGTATCTCTCATCGTTTCCCAGATTCCAATGCTGTGCAACTTCATCTTTTTCATTGTTAGAGTGTTGGTGTCGACGTTTCATGAAATGGAATGGCAATCATTCGTTAATCAAAATCACGAATATTTTTATCAATAATTTGAATCGGCACCTTCGAAAAACGACAGCTCTCGATGACGCCATACACCTCTCGAAAGTCATGGCTATCTGAATTTTTGCCTGTCATATTCAATTCTCTTTATTTTACAACAACCAATGGGAGCATAACGATATATTTCGAGGTTGCCAAATTTATAACTTCTTAGTCAATACCATATGAGATTCAATATCACCATTGAAACAATCTTTGGTTATGGATAATCTTCTTGCCAACTAGACGAGACAGTAACCTCAGTTTTAGTCATTTCAAATTCACTATGAGAAATCTCAATTAACTATTTTGCACGAAATACAATTATTTGTATACTATCTACACGTGCACACTGCTGAGAACGCTCACTTCTGTATATGTAGCGGCTGGAGTCCTTACATATATGGTGTTTTTTAAAGTGTCACGGAAAATTAATTCGTGCATTGAAACGACGCATCAATGTTATGCTATCCAGTAAATTTGATTCTTAACAAAAATATTTTAGGTATAAGTTTTGTGATATTGTTGAAATAACATCGCGATAGTGTCCTTCTGAAGTATCCAACAAAATATCATGAGAAAACGTTTATGAGACGTTGCAACAATATCAAAATCAATATTATTAAATAATGTTGTTATATGTTGATTCAAGGTTGTCAAGTTATTTGTGCAACGTTTTCGTTTCATCACCTAATAACGTCGTAGCTTACATGTATACAGGCTACAAGGGTATAATATTTTTTTAAGGCAAAGTAACCTTGTCAACTGTCAAAAGTCAATTCAATTCCTTTCCAGTCATTTTGTTTGTTGTCTATTATGGAGAACAGGTCAATCAGTGTGATCAGTGGAGATATTGATTTTCATTCATCCATTCGTAGTTATCAAAGTGGTATATGAAATTTTGCAATAGTATGCGCTCTCAGGGTATAGGGCCCTTCTTTTATTGAGAACCCGGTTTTTCATCAAATTTGAATTCTTGGCTATGTACATTGACAACAATGCAATTTATTAGCATCAAAATATTTTTTCAACTCCAAACCTTTCAATTAGGCTGAAGATGGTATTTTATAAGACCGAAACATGTCCCTTATGATTATTTAACAACATCACCAAAATTTGTGGAGATGACTTCGAGCATTCCTTCCTTCCTGTGAATTAGTTCACTCCACTTTGAGCAGTATGGACTTCTACCAAAGATTTATGTTTAAGTTATGTTTTCATGTTTAGTATGGGGTTCTACTACATTTCACATGTTGTGCGCACACTTTAATCGAATTCACTGGTTTCTGTTTGCCCGCAGGCCTGTTCTCCTACTCCCACATGGACTTCGAGGCCGATAGGGACCCCGGTCCCTCGGGCGACCCCTCGCTCGCCGACATGGCCCGATCTGCGCTCGCCCTGCTGCTCAAGAACCCCAAGGGATTCTTCCTCGTCGTCGAAGGTGAGTGTTATGCGAACGTGATATTATGATGTGTTGTTGGATGTTTGACTTTCTCAAGGAATTGCGTTCTCGCGAACATTGCTCTCGTCGTCTGCAAGGGCGTAGATGTTGAAGGGAAAACTTCATAGATCAACTCTTCTAGCTATACCAGCGATTATTTCAAAAATCGAGGTCAAGTGACGTCCCCCTCAACACATGATGTTTTAAACTTCTCCATATTGAGCAACTGCAGTGCGACTGCGAATTTTTTTTCACTCGTTATTTTCGCAAGAATATACTTTCCAGAAAATAAGCTATATTCTTATCCGAGTATGGTTGGAAGTAATATGAGTTGGTGAAGAAGCATATTACGCACAAATGGAAAAGTTACACAAGTAGCCGCGGAGCCGCTTCACAACACGCATTACATGATATACTTTATCTACTGCCATATAGTATATCAAAAAAGTTCGGACAAACAGTCTGAATTATAATTCTTGACAGTTGGGTCATCCATTGTTGACGGCGATTACGCGATCATGACATACCTCTACTGGCGGAATAAAAGAAAACTGTGCGATGTGCTTACTGTGCGTAAAAAGCTACTTACTGAGGCTGTATCTTGTGTGTTCCTGCATACTCTCCATAGTGGCCGTAGATAATAGTATATTTCGTAATATGTGTTGTTAGAAGCATATTACACACGAATGAAAAAGTTACTCAAGTAGCCGCTGAGCGACGAGTGCGTAATTCCATGAATGCAAAATTGCTGCACAACACGCATTACGTACTATACTTTTCCTACTGCCATATAGTGCATCAAAAAAGTTTGGACAAACAGTCTGAATTATAATTCTTGACATTCATGTCATCCGCTGTTGACACTGTGCGTGAAGATCTACTTACTGAGGCTGTTTCTCGTGTATGCCTACTTTCTGTAGTGACCGTAGGTACGGCCGGGGGCCCACTATGTACTCACGACGTCGGGGTTGGGGTAGCCCCAGGTGACACCAGACACCACTGGTCAAAAGCTCAAGGTCTCCATGCACTCTTGTCATGGTCGCGGTACGTGTGAAAGGCCGCGAACGGTCACCCATCAAACGAAACTGGGGGATTCCGGTCGACATGGATAGCTGCGGGCTTGCTCAGCGAAAACTGGAACTTTGGTGTACCTTATTGTCCCTTAGTTCCTGAAGGAGATGCAGCTCCAAGCGATCCTATCGCCAGTCCTCATAGGTGAAACCAGGTCCTCTCCTGTGAACGAGGTAGAGGAACGTGTAAAAGTCCTCGAACGATCACTCATTCAACGGGACGAGAGGATTCTTGTCAACATAAGTAGCAATCAGGCCAAAGCCTCTTGCGACAGCGACCCATCAAACGTAACAAGAGGAATCTTGTTGGGTGATGAGGATAGCCCCATCAGGCCATACACGCGGCCTGGTGCCTCACCAATTGGGTTGGACTCCAGGGGGCAGCGGTTTCTAAAAACACCACCAGACTTCGGTAGAGGAGTTGAAGAAGAATCTCACTATGGGTCAAGTGGGAGGATATCTTGCCTGCCTCGGCGGGTGAGCAGTATTTCTGCTCAGACACTTACACTGCAGAGCCAGTAGTCTGTCTTATCAGACGGCCTCACCATTGGTATGATAAAATGGTAGCAGGAGAACATGCCGTTACATAACGGAGATAGCTCTAGCGCGCTGATTTGGCGTATCCCAATCCTGCATTTCTTCCTGGGGTGCTCTCGGTGAAGTCGAAAGATACAGGCCGGCAGTCATCCCTATGGGAGTGAGAGGGGGGTGGTAATTGGTTCCATCCGATTGCTACCCTGGCAATACGGATCTCATTATTATCATAGTTGCCGTAGGTGAAGATATTTTTCATATTACCTTCTAACCTTCTGATAACCTTGAGGATTCAAAGATTCGCTGTTATAGCTAGACGCTTGTCGTGTTGACCTTTTGTTTGATTTCGTCAGGGCCTTTGGTGTTTGGTAGCTCGACTATTCCAAATGGCAAATATTTCACTTGAGGGAAGGGCTTGTTAATAGTGAAGAATATGAAATGCCACGAGCATTGCATGGTTTCATTCCTTCCAACAATACATACAGACAGTATGGAAGGAAAATGGTCAGTAAATGATAGCGAATGGTCAAAATGCATCATTTTCTAATTGGATCATAAAAACTAAGACCACCTGTAATAATCACAATAAAATGACAGTTACAATCATTACATGACCTTCAAACACTTTATCCACTCCAGAAAACTGGGTAATCTTTCTTGGAATTTGTAAAACGAGGTTGTTCATGGAAAACTTATTCAGGCGCATTGAGCACAATTTGGGTGATATGAACGGAAATCATGAAACTCGCGTTATCGTCATCGAAGGCTTTTTCTCTATAGAGTGACCAATTTGAAATCGGGCCACTCTCTTCAATCTTTCATTTGGAGGGAAAGAAGGTGTATTTTGGAGCTGAAAGGTGTCTAATTTTTTGAGTACTATAAGACTAGATCACATTCAGAGACTGAATTCTGAATCCATATTAGCGATTTTTCCAGAAAAAACAATCTTCGTACGCCACTGGAATCAACGTATTCTGAAATATATCTGTACCAAGTTCCATTGAAAAATTTTTAATATCAACAATTCGATGAAATAACTGTTTATCATGCATTGAGAAGCTTTTCATGCGTTAATAACATATTGACATAACATTTTTATAAGGACATTTTCATAAATTCTCCAAAACTGATATTAAATTAAGACACATGAATTGATTTCAGATTCTGGATTTTACAACTTTCTTTTCATTCTCAGGTTAGGGGTGTTCAGTCGAGAGATCTGGAAAATGATGCATTACTTTGCGGTCATCTTCAGTTTTTGCGAAGTCTACTAATTATCAATTTGACAACATAAAAAGCTGAATAATGCATGATAAACAACTAAGTAGATAATTTAGTTATAGATTCGTCGAAGTTGAGTATGTCGTTGCTATACACTTACTGGCATCACCTACCACTTCCTACAATAATCTAATATTCTTTGGTATCGATTGCAGTATTTTGCATGTCGCCATCCAATTTACTTCACTTATTCCTCCAAAGTTCTAATCCAGAATTGATTTATCATGGTTCTGGGGGAGGGGGATGTAATTACCTCCTTTATCTCCCCATATCTACGCCCTCGCTCTTCCGTGCCTCCAATATGAGGTTTCTTATGAATAAATGAATGCATGGATGAATAAATGAGTTCTTCATTCCAGTGAGACCAAGTTCATGTGGTATTGGATCAGTCAATAGTATACAGGAATCGTGTATATCATCTTTAAAGAACATTCGAGTTCACAAATCTTTTGTAGAATGGGCTAGTTTCCTTCATTCGTCAAAAAATTCAGAACATGGATTGAAAAATCAACCCAATAATTATTGGCATATCGGGCTGTTGCCAGTTTTTTCCAGAATAATGAAGGTATCGAGAAGGAATATTCTCGAATAAACTATGAACATGAAGAAATGGATATATATATATGTGTTATATTTCCGTGAGAATCATCGACAACCCAAAATCCACAAACATCACCGAAATCGGACGCCTGATAATGCAAGATCAACATAATTCTTAGAATAAATTAGGGCCCATGCCACTGTATTTCTCACTTTTATTCCTAAGTCTTGAATTGGTATCCGAATTGCTCATCAGCTCTTGTTTTAATATTGACAAAAAAGAGTTATATGAAGAAAAACATTGAGAATTCGCCTTCTTCATGTGATGAAAATATCAATTCTTCCTTGGTTTATTCAACAGAAAACAACTACTTTCCTGGCTATATGTCACGACGAACAATATATTATATTTATTGAACACACCCGATAAGAATTTGAAATCAAAATCTTCGAGAATTCTCCTTCAAATAAATTATCATTCTAAATATTCAACAGAAGACCCCTACTTTCCCACTGGCTATTTCCACGTCTTTAATAATGAATATCAGTTTGTCATAAATCCAATAATAATGGAGATAGTTATTAATTTTGAGCTTATGAATGATCAAGAAAGCTCATGAATAATAATCTATAGACAGGTTGACTGTAAGAAAGGTCAGGTTAAGTGTAAGAAAGTAAGTATCCATTTCACACATGACTATAGGTACGCTAATTCTGCTTTTTGATATTAGACTATACTATTCCATATGTAAAGAAAAAGAAAAAACTAATTTATATCGAACTTATAACTACTATTTATGTGAACGATTCATATCACGCAGTATATGACTATCTTTCTGACACTCGTTGCTTGACTGACTGACGGCAGTTGTCTGGCCGTTTATATAATGAGATCCCTTGGTAGGCTTTGGTTCGACAACGTTCTCGAATGATCTTCCGTCTCCTTCCTTTTGTTCTATTAGAAGCTTCTTAAAACAATACCTCTCTCTCTCTAATTGTTCCATCGATTATTTCCAGAACATAACAGAATCTTCTGTCACGTTATTTGTCACCGCGGCATATACTGAGTGTTCGGAAATATGCTGGTGCATGTAAGAATCATTGGGAGGTTGAAGAACAATCTAGGATGCGTGTTACAGGATGATCGTTGTACTCCTGCCTTCCTGCTGATGTTTCTAGAGCCCCCCTAAGGGGAATATCATCACAATATCATATGGTTACTCTCCAAATGACATTGAAAGTAGCTTTTTGAAGTCACTTAACGGGGAGGCAGGTCTATAGGCAGAAATTGTTTGTTGCTATTCAACGCGAGATGCAACGTTCCAAGTGATCATTCGAATCCAATTGGTAATCAAAATTGACAATGACTCTGGGTGAATACAAAATGGTGGATTATGCGGCCTTCGCGTGGATGAATTTCAAACGAATGTGAAAAAAAAAAGTTTTATATGGTAGAAAAAAAAAAAGCAATCCCGCAGCTGGCGTTCCATAGCCTTGAATGCTTTTCTGCGTATAAGTGAAACGAATACCTTTTACTTGCCTACTAGAAAAACGTGAGGATTATCTAGTTCTGTG